TTCGAAGCCACAGCATGTTTTTATGGAAATGTTCATTCTTCAAGAACAATGTATAAGTTCCTTTTTGGTCATGTATAGAAATAATGCCAAAAATGCTGAACATGAACGTTTTTTAAACACAACAGCAAAAAATCCGATTTTTCTCTTGAAGTCTACCAGAGAACGAGGACTGTCCGGTGCCAATTATCTACAGTAACTCCCGCATTTTTACTTAACGAGGGCTTGCAGAATTCATTTCTAACGACTCATCAGATAAGTTTTCAAATTAGGTTAGAGGAGGAACTTATATACATGTAATTCTCTATGTCCAGCAAAAGAGTTACTTTTCACAGTTAATGGAGTATGAAATTCCTTACCAACATCAAGGTAAACGATCATGCGATTAGGTAGCTTCGCTAGGTATGCGATTTGTTCCATTAGGGACAGTTTGTTTCAAATCCATTTTCGAGCTTTTGGGGGAGAAATGAAATCTATGGATTTCTATCATTTATAACATCTCCTTCCATTTCTATTGCTTGTACAGACTCCATAAATCATTTTTAACAAGATAATGTCCGTTCACTTAAATCCGGGCGCTTTATGTGTTAGAAATAGTTGGAAAATGGGATATCTCGGCATGTAGATGTTAATAATAGAGCTACAAGTAACTGCTTACTTCAAATGATCAATTCTGATGGAGAAAGCACTTGTTAGATTGAATTGTAACACCTTTACTAACTCCTCAAATTCCCTCTGCTTCCTTTCTATATCCGTAATAATGAATTAGAATTACTTGTTCCACGGTCCTGTTGGGCTGATAATAGTGCTCCTGAAAACTTAACTTCGAAAGCAAGAACTTCAAAACTAATTTCTTTTGATTTAACAAATATAGCTGTGAACTAGAATTCTAACTTCATATTACTATAATCCTCTTTTTTACTGAAGTCAATAGCACATCTTGTGTAGTTGAGCAGGAGCGAGTTGAAGCAGTGCGTAAAGATTCTAACTACTTGTTTGCCTATTCACTTAACCATACATCCAACAAAAACCAAAGTAGCATAGAAAAGATGATACAAAAAAGTCTATTTCCACTGAACATCAGGCACCGTTACATTAAACCTTCTGACATAGTTTGGCTCAGGCAGCCTTTAACATAAAACTTCTCTACCTACTGGGTCAGATGTTTGCTGTTTGAAATTTATATCATACACTCCAAAATGTACGACACCGGGAGTCAACTTGATAGAATTATCGGAATTTAACTTTCTTTTTACAAGGTGCAACGAGATGGTCACAGTTACTATGTAAATGCTTGCCATCTTGCATTGATATACACTTA